GAAGCTGTGGCCACCACGATCTACAGCCTACAGGGCTGCATCGGGCCAGCGCCTCGGTTGGAAGCATGTAAGAAGCTCCGAATCGTCACTGATCCAGCCACGGCTGAGATCCTTCTTCGTGAGCGTCACGACCAGTGATGAAGCTGCTCATCGATCCAGCCTCGATGATGCATCACCACCGGCCGTTTACTGACAGGATATGACTGGCTCCCACAGCTGTGGTCTGCCGAACGGAATGAAGACTCTCGCACAGAGTCTCTGTCATGCTCGCCGAGCGAAGCTGGCTAGCATCAAACCACAGCTCAGTGGGTTAACTCATTGAACAGACGATGTGCTCGAGTGGTTAAGGAGGTCAGCTCCAAACCCAGTCAGCCGCGGCTTCCGCGAGTTCGAGATCTCGTGCTGTCGATGAAAACCCATTTAGGGTTGCGGTCTGTTCGCCTCTCTCTCACCCTTTGTCTGGACAACCCGTGATCTCGTAATGGATTTTGAGCCACGTAAGATGAACTTGCCTCGTCGACCTGCCTTGAGAGGGCAACCAGTCTTTTTCCCTACTAGGTATAGACCAGTCCTTTGACTGCAGTATCAGCATGTTCGACAAGTTATCCGCTGACCAACTGAAAATATCTGACTCAGAGCTCAAAAAGCTCACAGACCCGGGATGGTGGTAGGGAGAAAAGTGACCCAAACCTACAAGCAGGGTGGCTGAAAGTGGGGAATTATACCTATTATTCCCGGGAATATTCCCAAGGAAGGGAATTAAGGAACTATTTTGGGGAATAATACCTGCATTTTCGGGAATTATGTAAAATAAAAGCCGAACAACGATGAACCTGTAGTTCCTTAATGGATTCTGAGGTTGTTGTTGTAACTAGTGGGCTCCAAAAGACCACGAATATGTGCCTGACTCACCTGTTGTGTATAAACGACGACGTCGATCGATCGGGCGCGCGCTCATGACAATGCTCATGTGTAGAACCCTCTTATGTCGGCTTCGTTCCTGATCACCTCACGATGATTTGATCAACTTTGTTCGATCGGCCTCAGCTATTGTGACTCTCGTCATGCCTCAAAGGTGCAATCCTGAGAACCTAGACCCAAACCAGCACATAATGGAGTACCTTGCCAACGACGATGATGGAGAGCCAGTGAAGAACTGACGGTGTGTCTTCATAAGAGGACCGGGTGAACCGAAAGTACACACACAACACAACAACTGAGACTTCTGTTCCCATAAACGCAATTCAATTCGATTCACTTTCATCCAATTCAAGCTTATTTAAGTCT